TGAGTCATGACGAACATTATTCAATACCCATTCTATGTAGGGAACATACTGAGGTCAGGTGTTATGTCGCTCATTGCAATAGGTTTTAAAAAGACGCCCAAGTTCACGCTTGACATGTTCAGCAGGGTTTGATTGTGGATGGTAGACACTAGTATGCCCGACATGAATTTTATACTTTTTTAGGGTTTGTTGCCAATGCTTACTGATGAACGATCTACCGTGGTAAGAGACCAAGCTTAAAGGAATGCCATATTGATGGAAATAATATTGGGTTAATTTGTTTATATAAACTTTAGCAGTAGCTTTACGAAGTGGAAATAATTTAACAAAACGGGAAAAATTATCTAGTACTACAAAAATATATTGTAGACCATAAATACCTACGGGGAGGGGACCATAAAAATCTACTAATAATTTATCTAAAGGTTTTTGGGAAATGATATGTTGCATAAGAGCAGCCATTACAAAAGTATTCATTTTTCATTTTTGACAAATGTCACAGGATCGAAAAATAGAACGGATAGTTTTATGAAAGGAAGAAAATAACAAATTTGTTTAAGGGAGTGAATAGTTTTTAAAGGACCTATATAACCAAAATAGTCATAGAAAGCAATAACAACTTCATAAATTAGATGTTTAGGGAGAAAAAGAGACCAATTACTAATAAACTTTGATTTACGAATAAATAAAAGATTGTTGTGGACTTTATAGTCTCAAATTTTTTACTCAAATTAATTTTTGATTTCATGGTTTTTATATCAATTCAAAACTTTAAATTTAATTTTTACTCAAAAAGGACATTAATTAATATTTGTCAATGGTTTCAGATTTATTAAAATTTATATTAATGTCTATTTTAATTTGTATATTCTGTAGTTCAAATGATCTCAAAACATTTTTTAATTTGAAAAGAAAACTTAAATGTTAAATAATTTAAAATAAGTTTTTCACATACTTGTATTTCTGGGCTAGCATTTGTGTTGTAAAATATTTGTGCTGATATAAGAATAACGAAAAAACACCTTCTCAAGTTCAATGCATTACAACGATTTTTAATCATTCTATTAGTTTTTTAAAAATACTTAATACTATATAAGAAAAATTTCTCAAACAAATCCTGTTTATTTGAATTATAAATAATAATTTGGCTTTTACAAAAACTTATATATTAATTTTCATAAAAACTTTTTAAATTGAAGTAATATTATATATTACCTTGATTTATTCCAATCATATTTGATTATATTAATAGAAATCATTGATAGAGCTATTAAAAGATTATATTATTAGATTATTAAAAAACATAACGCGTAAATAAAATGTGTTATATGCTCATATTAAAAAATAAAACTATACTGAAAAAACAGCTATTCATAAATCTATCAAAGTTAATTCTCAAATTAGATAAATTTTAATATCAATTAGTTCAAAATTCATGTCATTTTTTAAATTATTTCTCAATTATTCACTCCTCTCATTTTGGGTACTGACTTGAACATTTTATATACCTTAATTATAAAAACCGTAAAATTATACAACTCAAATGTTCCTATTCCTTTTAAAATTATCTCTCTCAATCACACCAATGATTTAATAAGAAGCATATTGAAACTGAAGATACTTGTCATGACTTTGTAATATAAAATCATCCTGTAAATATTTTCCATTTCCTACTAAAAATCTGGCTATTGATAATATGCCTCTCAACAATCAGCAACAACATTCTCTAGACTCATTAATAAATAGTTATGCTCACATTTTCAGGAACGCCCTAGTTTACATAACTCTTTTTCATAACATCAACCGTATAAAATCAAACTGTACCCTGTTCCTTTCTCTTGTCTCTCTGCTGTTCAATAAGAAATCGACAGAAAACTCAAAAAACGATAAGATGCTCTTTATAATAATCTTCTAATCAGTGTAATTAAATCTGATTACTACAACTCTGTTTACATACTCAGAAACTCAATATTATTATTTTTCTTACCCGAGACAGTTCCTTTCTATTCATGAAATTTTAGCTTAATTTCTTGTTCTTTTTCCTCGCCTTAATCTTAACTATTGTGCCAAATTTTAATAATAAAAATATTTTTTCTTCTAATGATTTTACTTCTGACTATTAGCAAAGTTCCCTCGATCCTTCTATTCGCCAATATAATAGTTTTTATATAATGGCAAGTCTAATTAATTTTTTGTTGTGCCTTTTGGTCTCAATATTTCAAATGCTGCTTTTGGTAAGGGTTTGGAAGTCATCTTAAGTAATTCAACTGTCCTTTGTCCTCCCTTAATAATATCCATACATATATTGATGACACTTTAATTTCTTCCCCTTATTTAAAATCACTTAATAAGCCTTGAATGGAGTTAAAAACAATATTTTTATTTATATTCATTTAAAAAAAAGTTATGGCAGTTTTAAGAAAAAAAAATTGAAAAAATGTCGAAAATTATCGATTTTTAAAATTGTAATTTTTAGGGAGATTTCCCCCATTAACGGGAAACGAGGAATTTTTTATCAATTTTTGAGGATTATATTTCCGGCTAGATATAACTTGTGATATTTTGATGTATTTTTCATCAAAATCAGTCCAGTGAGAGCTGAGAATGAGTGTTAAGAGACACACAAAAAAAAAAGTTAAAAAACACAGAGTAAAATTAATACTTTCTCAGCTTTGCATCAAAGCTAAAAAATGTATATTTTTTTAATAGTTCTAATTTTTTTTTTACTGTGAACGCTGGCTACAATTTATTAAATGTAGAACTTACCAGAGATCACAAAATAATTTTGGCAGACTATAAAAAGTCATTAAAATAAAAAAGAAAAAGTTTGTACATGGTTAAAGCCTTAAATCAAATCTATGCCGATATAGATAGTATTTTAGTCATTGGGACTTTTAATACATTTCATCATTGAATATTTTTGGTGACAATTTCAACACGTAACATACATTGTTATATATAATCAATAGAGCAATTCATGGTGTCTAAACTGACTAAATAGTTGTATATATAACCCGGTATTAACAACTTATACAACTGTATATAATACTTTTATTAAGATTCAAGCACTGTCTATTTCTTGTCTTTTAATACTACATTCCCATACATCAGATGTAATTTTGTAGGCACACATATCTCGTGATTCTTTCACTTTAATTCTTATTATTGTCAGTTACCATATTCCTACTCATTCCTGTGACTATCCGCAGTAATCATTTAAAAATTATGCCATTATAATAATTTATCAATATNAAAATTATGCCATTATAATAATTTATCAATATTGTGTCATACAATGTTACAAAATTAAACATTTTTATTATATAACTAGGTTCCGCCTAGCTGGGGCTCCGCCCCAGACTCGAGGCCCTTCGAGCCTTACGCGCCTTCGGCGCGTAAGTCTCTTCGGGCCGTCATCATAAGTAGGCCACTGATTCCGGTAGGGATACTCGGCTACGCCGGGCACAATAAGTGTTTTTCAGAAAAAATATTACTTCAGAATCAGTGTAACAAAACTATATCTAAAAATGTTATTATTAAAATCAGGAAAATTCAAAAAGAGAATATAGTAAAATGTATTGGATATAAGGTTGACGCNTCAGAATCAGTGTAACAAAACTATATCTAAAAATGTTATTATTAAAATCAGGAAAATTCAAAAAGAGAATATAGTAAAATGTATTGGATATAAGGTTGACGCCTCGTAATGAGGTATTTCCTTTAGACCTATTCAAATATTATTTTAGGAGGATATTTAATATTTTTCACTTTGTTAAACATGTTATAGAAATTTTTTTGCTAAAATTAAAGTAAAGATGAAAAAAAAGGACATTAGGTCCTTATACATTAGAAGTTGCCTAAAAAAATATTGATAGCGCTGGTTCAAGGGGGTCCATATCTCTCTTAAATACACCCCTGTTATACACAAAAATTATTAATAATTTAATTATAATAATTGTGTTTATATTATAGAATAATTAAAAAAAAAATTTAGCAGGTTATTATACGTGGCACATTGTAAAAAATTGAATTTGATAAATATATTGGTAGCTGCGATTTAACGATAAACATCATAGTTATCATAGATGAATCCCAATTCAAACGATAAACTCATAGTCTCATACATCATATATATAAAAAAAATTATTAACACTGTACATAGTACTGTTCTGATAATGAAAGTACAAACTTCTATAATTATAACGTCTTAAAATTTATATATAACATATAATATTCCTTGATAAAATATAGTGCAAATGTAAAATAGTGTCCTAATAATAATACATATTACACCATATAATTAAGGTTCATAATAAATGCATGAGCAGAAATGAAATGTCATTGGGCGGGTCTGATGAAAATTTCAAACCATAAGTCGTAAAACGCTGGCGTCAACAAGCGTTTTTCTCGAAAACGGTCAAAATTTTAAAACGCTAGCGAGCGAGCGGCAAAAATTTTCCGACCTTCGCCAATAATTTTTCCGGAGTCTGGTGACTGAGTACTTTCGTTGAAAAAAAAATTTTGAAAATCCGAGTACGCTAAGTAATTTTCCCAGAAAATCATTTTTTTCCTTGTTCTATTATACAGGTGTTCAGTAAATAAGAAAACGAATTTCTATTGTACTCATTGTTTGTAACAATTTAACTGTTTTCTAACTTACTGCACACTCTGTATAATAAGATAACTAGTTGTGTCTACACTATTGACCGTTTGAGCGTACATTTTTAATTAATTAACACTAATAAAAATGAAAATTAAACACTATCTATAAAATATAAAACTCATAATATACAGAGTAATTTATTTATCATAAATAATTTTTTTTTCTATTAGATAAAGGATGATTTGACTAAAATTTTGATAGATCTTAACAAATTTTGTATTTTTACTTTTTGTGCAAGTATATTGTTTCAAGATAGACTACTTCCCACCAACACAAATCTCTATGTGTTGATATTAAAACAAAAAAATGTTATACAATATTATAATTTATAATATATTACTTGAAAATAAAAATTATGCACTTTAGTTGTTTATATATTTAAGTTAAACATATTTTTAAATATTATTTGTCCATTTTTTAATATTATTAAAATATGAATGTATAATAATTCATTATATTTTAGATTTAATTTTCAATGTCTGCAATATTCAGATTTTCAAATAATTGATGATTTATTATTTCGGGTAACATAATGTTTTCGTAAAAGTCAATAAGTCTTTTTTCCATATTATCGTCCCAAAAATTGTCATCTCGATCAATTCTACAATAGACTATACCTAAAAAAGAAAATAATAGCATTTAATAATAAAAATATTTTTGAATTATATAGAGTGTTTTTAGCTTCGATGCGAAGCTGAGAAGGTATTAATTTTATCATGATGTGTTTATTTTTTTTTTTATTTTTTTTTTTATTTATTTTTTTTTTTTTTTTGTGTCTGTCACTACTTTTTCTCAGCTCTCACTGGACCGATTTCTTTTAACAATACGTCAAAAGATCACAAATTGTATCTAGTTGAAGACATTACCCTTAAAAATTTAAAAATTTTCCCTCGTTCCCCGCAAATGGGGGAAATATCCAAAAAAATTACAAATTTAAAAATCGACAAATTTTGTCATTTTTTTCACTTTTTTTTCTTAAAACTTCCATAACTTTTTCAAAAATCAACAAATCAACATAATTTTTTTTTAAACTAAAACCTTAGATATTTTCCTTTCATTTNCATACATCATATATATAAAAAAAATTATTAACACTGTACATAGTACTGTTCTGATAATGAAAGTACAAACTTCTATAATTATAACGTCTTAAAATTTATATATAACATATAATATTCCTTGATAAAATATAGTGCAAATGTAAAATAGTGTCCTAATAATAATACATATTACACCATATAATTAAGGTTCATAATAAATGCATGAGCAGAAATGAAATGTCATTGGGCGGGTCTGATGAAAATTTCAAACCATAAGTCGTAAAACGCTGGCGTCAACAAGCGTTTTTCTCGAAAACGGTCAAAATTTTAAAACGCTAGCGAGCGAGCGGCAAAAATTTTCCGACCTTCGCCAATAATTTTTCCGGAGTCTGGTGACTGAGTACTTTCGTTGAAAAAAAAATTTTGAAAATCCGAGTACGCTAAGTAATTTTCCCAGAAAATCATTTTTTTCCTTGTTCTATTATACAGGTGTTCAGTAAATAAGAAAACGAATTTCTATTGTACTCATTGTTTGTAACAATTTAACTGTTTTCTAACTTACTGCACACTCTGTATAATAAGATAACTAGTTGTGTCTACACTATTGACCGTTTGAGCGTACATTTTTAATTAATTAACACTAATAAAAATGAAAATTAAACACTATCTATAAAATATAAAACTCATAATATACAGAGTAATTTATTTATCATAAATAATTTTTTTTTCTATTAGATAAAGGATGATTTGACTAAAATTTTGATAGATCTTAACAAATTTTGTATTTTTACTTTTTGTGCAAGTATATTGTTTCAAGATAGACTACTTCCCACCAACACAAATCTCTATGTGTTGATATTAAAACAAAAAAATGTTATACAATATTATAATTTATAATATATTACTTGAAAATAAAAATTATGCACTTTAGTTGTTTATATATTTAAGTTAAACATATTTTTAAATATTATTTGTCCATTTTTTAATATTATTAAAATATGAATGTATAATAATTCATTATATTTTAGATTTAATTTTCAATGTCTGCAATATTCAGATTTTCAAATAATTGATGATTTTTTATTTCGGGTAACATAATGTTTTCGTAAAAGTCAATAAGACTTTTTTCCATATTATCGTCCCAAAAATTGTCATCTCGATCAATTCTACAATAGACTATACCTAAAAAAGAAAATAATAGCATTTAATAATAAAAATATTTTTGAATTATATAGAGTTTTTTTTTAAAACTGGTTTAGAGTTACTATTTTAGAATGCATATGTTGAAATCAGTAGAGTAAAGGGTAAAACCAAGATATTTAATTTCATTGAAGTGGGGATAGAATAATTATTTATAAAATCTTGTGAAGGATTGATATTAAACATTAGAATATAAATATTAAATTTAAAACAATTAAATAAAAATTACTTTCAAAGTTTTATATATAATTAAAAACCATGGAATTAAAAATTAATTTGAGTAAAATAAAATATAATTTGAGGCATAGTACTCCACTATGCTAGTCTAAATGTTTAAAATTTATAACCAATTTTTATTTCGTCAAATTAATTTATATACGCCAATATTTGTAAAACTATGGGCTTAATAAAGTAAGACCTAATATTTGGAACCCTTACCAGCGAATAAGCACTGATCAGACGAGGTTCCAGAGGGTATCGTTACAAAATATTTAATTTATAAAATCATACAATAAGAATTTTAAATGAGCAAAATAATAATAAAATTGAAAAACAATAATTAATGTCTTTACAACAAATATCTAAATGATAATTATTGTCTTTTTTGAATGATCCAATTATATGGCTTGATAACATCGATTTCAAAAGTCTTTAATGTTCCATACAGAAGTTGATTCAATTGCTTTTAATAACATAATTATAGAAAAATAAAAAAATAGAAAAGGCGTTTTAAAAGAAGGAATTTACTTTCCTCTTTTCAATCCCGCTAAGAGGTTTAACACTTTTATGTTCACTACGTCATGACAAAAATTAGATAAAAATGGTATTTTTTTTTTTACATTGACTAATTCCTAACTAATATTGTGAAAATAATTCCAAGATTAATTCATTACTTATGTAAATACAAATAAATCCAAAAATAGAGCTGTCTACTGAATGATTTTTTTATCATAACTCACTCAATTACTTACAAAATAAATATAATTAAAACATTTTTTTTTGTTTCCTTTAGTTTCACATTATTTTTTAATTTTTAACTATGTTATACTTTTTACGTTAATCCCTCACGCCTTGTGAGATGTCAACTTAGTTATTTCAAATGTGAACACATATTTGGAAATTAATAAAATGTTTGAGTTTTTAATTTAATAGTGAATGCCATTTAAATTTTTAATGTAACTTAGTTTATAAGATAAAGTTTTTTTTATTTAATTTACATATATAATACACGGGGTATTACAAATACAGGTAGCTAATAGTTTTTTTATGACATCGCTGTCTGTGTCAGAGTCATAGAGTAGTATTTGTAGTTGAAACCTATCATATCAAACTTGATTCATCCATAAATATTTTGAAAACATTAGAAATGAATGATTCTAATTGTCTGTATGGAGAACATGGGATAAGTAAATGTTTAATTGTTAAATTAGAATTTTTTTTCAATTTTTGAGGATAATAAATATATATATAATTATTCGGTTATTTTTAAAAAAGTTATAGTAATTACGGGGAATGAAGGAGTTTTTTCAAAATGTTAAGGTAATGTCTCCAACTAGATACGATTTGTGATCTTTTGACATATTTTTCATCAAAATCGGTCCATTGAGAGCTGAGATTGAGCGTACAGACTTACACAAAAAAAAAAAATAATAAAAAAAAACACATCTTAGTAAAAGTAATACCTTCTCAGCTTCACATCGAAGCTAAAAAGTCAGTATTTTTTTTACCTATTTTAAGTATACTTTTACGTAAATTTTTTAAATATAGCCAAAATACTATTATTGATTACTTTTTATTTTTAATATAAAAATATGTTGTTTACTATTAAAAAAAAAATTACTTTTAAAATTAAAAATATATTTAAAATATTAATTTAATACTAAAAATATATTTAACTTGAAAAGCCACAATAATTACTAAAAATTCGCAGATATATATTTTGAGAACGTTATTATCAACAGTGCTAAACGCATTAATTTAGTACTGTTAATGTTTATTGTTGAACATATGCATAAAATTTTTCTGAAATACGTATCTACGTTTTTTTTAGTTTTTTTTGTGGATATTTGAGTTAAATATTTTTAATATTTTTTAGCATTAAATGATTAGATGTACACTTCTAAAAACACTAAAAACATAAATTTGTTGAAACATTTATTTATATAAATGAAAAATAAATCAATATTTTAAATCTATTTTTATTTTTAAATAGTATTAGTCACAAGTGATAGTTTCTTATTAAAAATTAATTTTAGTTTAGTATTTCACAATCAACTATATTTTTAATCAAAAATGTAATTTTAAAAGACATACAAAATTATATCAAGTATTATATTGAACAACCAAGTCTCATTTGTAGTATACATGTATGTATACGATATCCAATTAAATAATTTGCAATAAATCACAAAAATTACATTTTTATTGCGACTATCCAAACTTTCAGTAAAAAAAAATTAATATAATAATAATGAAATGTTTTAATTATATAAATAAATGAAATATATAAAAATTTTTTTGGTTGCCAATCTTAAAAACCCTTAGATGTTGAAAAATAATAATACATTTGAAATCAATAATTTCTTATGTCATATTAAAATTATGATTTTTAAAATCTTTGTGTCCCATTGTACCTCTAAATTTGAATAAAACATAGAGAAGAGAGATGTTCGATATTTTTGTTGATATTAGTTAAGACAAGCTAATTTTTATTACACACTACTACAGTACACAGAGTTTCGGTTGGGTAGTTTATGTTCTCCACATACTAATTTGATACAAAATAAATATTCGCAAAAATTCAAATGGTCCATTTAATCTTACGAAAATATTGCAAGAAACTTTATATAAAAACAGAATGAAAAATTTAGAAAAAAACTCAAAAATAATTATTTTCACTAATGCCTGTGTATATTTGTCCACTGTGTGCCTTAGATATCTGATCAAATTCTTTACTACAAGTTTTTATTATAATTAATTGACTTATAATACCTTTTGATGTCCAAATAATTAAAAAGCAATATTGCCTCTTTGTAATATGCAATTCTCCTTGAATTTGATAAAAAATATTAGATGTACGTTTTAGTATAAGATCTTCATTTTCGTTGTAATACACAAATTTTATCATATTATTTTTAATAGCATCTTCGGGAGGTATTTCTTTGGCGTTATAAGGACATTTTATTTCAACAATACCATCTTTTCCGATTAATCCATCTGGTTGAGCTGTTAAAAAGTATAAGTGTTCATCAATAAATACACCACATTTTTGAATCTCAACGCCCATTATCCTTTCAAACATTTCTTTTGCATTATTCTCACTATTTTTGCCATATTTAGCAGTAGTCCTATATCGTAGACAAAAAAATTAGTAATATATCATCAATGATCAGAATGTTAGTTAATATACAAAAAAATAACTATATACAAATATTATGAAAAATGAAATACATATATATTAGTGCTTACGAAATATTATCTTCAGTTACAGTGACTTCAGATTTTTCAGACGGAATGCGCATCACATCTTTCAAAATTGCTTCTTTGCATGATGTTTGTTTAAATTTACACGCACGGTGAAAATGAGATGCTGATAGACGTTTCATACGTTCTTTTTGAAACCAATCATTATTATTGTAATATATTGAATTTCTCTCCAGTGTTTCAATATCAGATCTACTTATTTTTAAACTTTGTAGAAAATAATTTTTCTTATTTTCATATTCTTCATTCATAGCTACTTCCTCTTTGTTAACTGCTACATTTTTCGGAAAATGAAAAGTCAATTAATATAAAATTAAATTATATAACGGTTAAGATATAAATGCTGGGATTGTTATGAAGAAAAAATTTCATATTATTAAAATAAATGTATATTAATAAAAAAAAATTAATATGAGTGTGTGGTTTGACCCTCTCTAGTAATAATGAGGTTACATCAGGTAAAATGTTTTACTCAATCATTTTTGAACTTCCATGCGAACTTGAGAAGATATTAATATTACCATGATGTGATATCTTTAATTTTTTTTTTTTGTGTGTGTCTGTCACTAATTTTTCTCAGCTCTCACTGGAAGATTTTTCTCAACGATACGTCAAAAAATCACAAATCGTATCTAGTTGAAGACATTACCCTCAAAAATTAAAAAAAAAATTCCTCGTTCCCTGTAAATGGGGGAAATCCCACTAAAAATTACGATTTTTAAAATCGGTAAATTTCAATAATTTTTTCATGTTTTTTTTTTTTTAAATTGTCATAACTTTTTGAAAAATGAACAATTTAAAATAATTCTTTTTTATATTGAAACCTTAGATATTTTCCTTTTATTTGACAATAATTATTTAAAATTTATACTCTTAAAAACCTGCCTACGGGGGGGATTAAAAATAGCAATTTTTGCACAAAAATTTATCTTCTCAACTTAAGTTTTGTTAAATTTTCCGGAAATACTCCGAGCTTCAAGCATATGTTAAAATAAAGCTAATGTTATGTACTATAAGTTAAAAAATAAAATTTGTCCCGACGACTTAGTTTCTATGTACAAATGGTTGCCGTAGTTAAAAACATGCTATTTTTGTGTTAAAATTCTTGGTATTGTATTTTAATTTATTTTAATACAGTTTATATGGTACACTGATTTTCATGAATATTATATAAAACTCATTGACATAGAATATAATGTTAACCTTATTTCAATTTATTTTTTTTTATAAAAAGAAAAAATTAATTTTAATATTTGAATCAGTTTAAATTGGCAATTTTATCAAAAAAACGAATGCGACGAACGTTTGCCAATTCAGTAAAAATCATTGCCTGTGATTTTTTTGCAACTTTCCTTAATTCTTTTTGAGTTAAAATGTTGCTTTTCAATAATCCACCAATTTCTTAAAATTAAATACTATCTACAGATTTGCATAGAAGCGTTTCTCATGATAGTGATTTTAATCACTGTCAGATATCATCAATACTAGTCTCATCTATGCTACGCTCACACTGTGCCTACCGTTTTTTTTTCATTACAAAAGTATTGAATTTTCAATAGTTTCAAAAAAAAATTAATGTCATATTCCTAAACATATGCAAGGTATTGAGAGATATGACACTAATTTTATAATGCATAAATAGATAGAATTTGTTGCAAGTATCAAATGTAATATTATATATTTTTATAAATTTATTAAACTTTATTCATCAACATACGAGAATATTTATTTATTTAATAATTTATTTATTAATTTAACAAAGTTAAGTATGAGTCAAAATGTTTTTCAGTTTCAAAATAAATTTTATGAGCAAACTGAGGGCACAGCAATGGGAAATCCGCTATCACCATTTTTAGCAGAACTTTTCATGAGTAGGTTTGAAACAAATTTAAAATACACTTATGGTGATTTTCCAAAAATTTGAGTTAGGTATGTAGATGATATTTTTGCAGTTATAAATAAAGATTTTAATATGGGGGTTTTCATACAACATTTAAATTCTTTTTACCCATCGATTAAATTTACATATGAACAAGAAATAGAGGGAAAATTGCCTTTTTTGGATTTATTAGTTAAAAGAACAGAGGGGGAACTAAATTTTGAAATTTATCGGAAAAACACACACACGTTCAGATACATTCCGAACACATCGAACCACACCTGGCAACACAAATTGTCAGCTTTTAATAGTATGGTTTACAGATTAATTAATATTCCGATGAATAAAATAGATTATGATAAAGAATTGGTGGTTATAAAAGAAATAGCTAAATTTAATGGGTATAACGAAAACATAATTTTGAAATTAGTCCGAAAACAAAAGTGGAAAAAAGAAAGGAGGGCAGCTAGTACACTCTCCAGCGAGGGGGAACAAAAAGTAATTAGATCACCAATTTTATTTTATCCGGGCATCTCAAATGGATTAACTAAAATATTTAAGAATTTTGGTATTACTTTGGTAACATCTAAGAGTAATAATTTAAGAGATTTATTAGGTAACCCTAAAGATAAGGTAGATGAAGGGGGGAAATCAGGCATTTATAAAATACAATGTGAAAGTTGTAATAAATGTTACGTAGGACAAACAAAAAGAAATATAGGGGTCAGGTTTAAAGAGCACTTAAGAAATATTAAAAATCAAGAAATTGAGAAATCTCCAGTGGCTGAACATTTATTGACACATAATCACTCTATTAAAACCATAAAACTAATTAAAAACGTAAATAATTACAAAGAACTTAATATCAGAGAAGCAATAGAAATGTTTAAAAATAAAAACAATTTAATTAATTGGGATCTTGGCCCACTGAAAAATTCATTATTAAACTTGTGTAAACTGGCAAAATGTGATAATATTACTTAGTGATGACGTCACTAGGTGATAAGGTCACTAGGGGTATATAAGGGAGTTTTTTCTAGTCGGGGTGTCAGTATGTGTTTAGCGTTGATAATGGTAACATTGTTTCCGAAATACGTATCCGCGACTTTTCATTAATTTTTTTGTGACTTTGAGTTTAATATTTTTAATATTTTTTAGTTTTTTAAATTAATAACATTTTTAATATAGTTTTAATTTTACTTAATTAATTAGCCACAAGTGATCAATTTTTATTATATTTCAAATATATTTCAGTGAGTGGTGGGCCACCCTGTATNATATTTAATACATTTTATTAGTAGTACAACATCATATTAATTACCTTGGTAAATAAAATCATGCGAAATATTTGTCATTTCTATTACGCAAGAAATATTAATCATTGAATATATTTTCTTCACATATTTTTTTAAATTTTCTTGATTTAAAAAATGTCTACTTTCTCGTTTGTAAGTATTAAATGTGAATGAAATCATTGATTTTATATATTCATTATTGTTTTTACAATTATCACAAAATTTATTCATTGAATATAGTAATTTAGAATCATCTAAATAATTTAAACTGATATCCAATGTATCCTTTTTTTGTTGTTGAAGTTTTGTTACATTAAAAATATTCATTGCAAAATCATATTGCCAAGGATTAACAACAAATTTTCCATAAATAAAAAATGAAATCATTCTAACTATGTAGTAACCTACATGTTGATAATTTATTTTGAAAGTATGATTTGGATTTAAATCTTTTATCCTAACATCATTTTTTAATCCTTCTAAAATTTGAAAACATAAAAATGTGTGAAAACACTCTAAAGACTCTAATTCTTTTTTTAATTTATTTAAGCTTGACTCTTTTTTTTGTCTACACTCATAATCATCTTTAAAAGATTTTGATAATAACATTATGTCATCATAAGTTAAAAGCGAATGATTAATATATTTCTTATTTTTTCCACAGACTAATGATTTGATATCATTATTAATACTACTTACAACTTGTAAAAACGAATCGTCAAATATGGTATCATAATCAGGTGGCTGAAATAAAAATTATGATAAAAGAGTCTAAAATATAAAGTTTAAATTGTTTCTTAAATGAAGAGTGAATGTGTCAAACGTTCTATGTGCCAAAAACATATTTGTTGATACATATGATGATAGTGTGTATACATTACAAACTAGGCATAAATACCATGATAAGAAATTAGATAAGGCAATTATTACTTATCACTCTCATTCAAAAGTATATTGAAAAGATAGCGTTTTCTTCTGTCCTTTTCTCAATACGTATTTCAATGTTTAATACCATAAAATAGTACATGAAAATTCAAAATTTCACAAACTTCAAAACGCTACAGAATATTTACTAGTGAATATTAATAAGATATTTTTTTACTAAAATTTTTCTTAAATTCTACTCTACAAAATAGCTATCTTAGATTTTTTTTTTACTTTTTATTTAAAATTTTAAAATAATTAATATTTTTAATAAAATGTAAAAAAATTAATTATTGAGATATAGCTATAGACCTAACGTCTAACTAATATTTAAAAAAAAAATCAGCTAAAAATATTAACTGGATCAAAAGTTATTTAAGTTGTCAGTGAGTGGTGGGCCACCCTGTATACGTATATGTTTATATTCATTTATATATTCCAACCGCCGCTGCCGTATATGCCTCACGTATTGCGTTCCCACGCAATATATACCACGCGTATAACACATTTTCGTACATAAATCACTTTATAATATATTTAGTGCCGCTGTCCTTAACAATATTTTAACCAAAAACATAAATAGCTCGGTATTTATGTAAAAGAAATATAGTTTATAAAAACTAAAAAACACCCTTTCATAACATATGAAACTAAAAAGTCAAAAATAATTTTTAAAATAATACTAATATTTTTCGTTCATTGTTGTTTTAAACTTACTATAAAAATAATTTTTAACTTTTTAGTTCGATGTGCTTTAAAAGCGTGTTTTTATAAACTATATTTTTTTAGTTCAACTTTCAAGTTTAAAGTTAATATGATATCATATGAATCAATTCAATGAAAATACTAATCATTTCTATGTAACTCTTGTTGTTTAAATAGATGCTGCAATTTAAATATTCACAACTATATTCCGTATAGTTATATCTTATAATTTTTAACTAATTAATAATTATATCAAAAATCTGTGGTGACAGAATCTAAAAAACTAGAAAACAAAAAATCTAGTTGTAGATTTGAAATCAGCACAAACAATTGATCGAGAAAAGTATATTAGCGATTCTTAATTCATGTTTACCATTTATTCCTAATTAACAACAAATTATTTTCTGAAAATTTGTATTTAAGCCCTTCGATTTTTATACGAGTTTACCATAAGAGTAATGAAATATACTACTTTATTATTTTTAATAGTTTCTACGTAAAAATTACCATATTAAATTATTAAATATAAATTTCTTAATTATATTTAATTACTATAATAAATATTTATTCATAACCATAATTATAAATAAAAAAACAGTAGCACAGTGGGGTCGTGGCGCAGTATGGACGTGACATAGTTGGGACAAGTATAAATGAAATCTGACAGTGATAAAAATCACTATCATAAGAAACGCTTCGATGTAAATCTGTCGATAGTGTTTAATTTTAAGAAATCGGTAGATTATTTCAAAAGCAACAATTACTCTTAATCCCTTAATTTTATCCCGATTAGTTATTTGATTTTTAATTAATAATATATGAATAAATAATAATTTTAATAATTAAATTTAGTATTAAATTGATATTCAATAATTTAATATTGTAATTTTTACGGAGATATTATAAAAAATAATAAAATAGTTGTATATTTCTTTACCTATAACGCGTATAAACATTTAAAGGGCTTGATGCAATACTGTTCAATAAAAAATGTTTGTTACTTATAGCAAATTTATAAGTTTTATACATTGGACTACAAGGAGGGTCATTCCATGTGAAATCACCTAATGTGTATGCTGGTATAGTTAAAAAATTTATGAAATTTATATCATAGACTTCTTAAAGGTCATTGACAACAAAAATAATATTTTTTTTTATTGTTTTTTTACCAGATAGCGCATTTTAGCTTTGATGCGAAGCTGAGAAGGTATTGGTTTTACTATGATGTGTTTTTTTTTTTTTGTGTCTGTTACCACTTTTTCTCAGCTCTCACCGAACCGATTTCTTTCAATGATATGTCAAAAGATCACAAGTCGTATCTAGTCGAAGACATTACCCTCAAAAATTGAAAAAAAATCCCTCGTTCCCTGTAAATGGGGGAAACCTCCAAAAAAATTACAAATTTAAAAATCGCTAATTTTCGAAATTTTTTCAATTTTTTTTACTTAAAAGTGCCATAACTTTTTCAAAAATGAACATATCAATATAATTATTTTTATATAGATGCATAATATTATTACCTTTCATTTGGTATATTATTTTCATAAATATAACCCTTAACCTGCCCACAGGGGGGGATTTAAAATGACAACTTTTTCACAAAAAATTAACTTTTGAAAATGTTACGGAAGGTCTGACTATTTTATATATATCTTAAATTAAAGCTAATGTAATGTACTTTATAATGAAAAAATAAAATTTGACCTCTGGACTTGTTCGTGGTGAAAATGGCTACCAAATGCTATTTTTGTGTGAAAATTTTCGATTTTGTATTACTTTTAACATAATTTTTTTACATGCATCTCAAAAAGAATTAGAGTCTTTAGAGTGTTTTCACACATTTTTATGTCTTCAAATTTTAGAACTGTTAAAAAACGATATTACAATAAAAAATTTAAATCCTAATCATACTCTCAAAATAACTTTTCTAGATGCATCTGTTTACGTAGTAAGGATGATTTCATTTTTCATTTATGGCAAGTTTGTTGTTAATCCTTGGCAATATAATTTTGCAAAATGACTTATTGACTTAGCAAGACTCAAAAGACAAAAGAAGGATACACTTAAATTCAGTTTAGAATACCTAGATGACTCAGTATTACTTTCTTCGATGAATGAATTTTGCGAAAATTGTAAAAAAACAAATGAATTATATATTTTTCAAGAAAAAATTAATAAATTTTTAAATAAAAAAAATTTCAATCTTCATGTGAAAAACTTAATGTCAAAGACATCTCTTCCTTGTATAACAAACATGAACAAAACTTCTCATACACTTATTAGCAAAGGTAATCAAGATGATGTAATCTCGGTGGGGCTCTGCGTCAGACCCAGAACACTTCACATTGTCATTACGAATAGACCACATACTCCGAATGTAGTGCTTAAAACACTTATTGTGCCCAACATAGTCCGTCACAATATGTGTTTTGCAAAATAAAGTGTTATTTGCATCAGTAAGAAAAAAAAATATACGGTAGAAAAATCGAAAAATAAAAAACGTTTAATTATTAAAATGAGTAAAATTCATAAAAAGAGTTAGTAAAATTGATTTTAGATATTTGTTACTTGTTGTTATTTAAATACTATTATTAATATTTCAATAATAATATTATCTTTGGTATCAACAACATAAACTATATATTAACTCAAAAATTTTATTAAATTAAAAATATGTGTTACCATTTAAAAAAACAAAGTTGCCACCCTTACCAGGTATAGGGATGAACTTGAAAAGTATTACATAGTTAATAATTCAAGAATAATGTGTAACTAAAGATAATAATAAAAAAATTTTTTTTAATTATTATTATTCTGTAAGTAATTTAGTGGGTTATAATAAAAAAATCACTCTGTATATTTTAAATTAAAGTTAATGTAATGTACTTTATTATGTAAAAATAAGTTTTCGGACTTCACTTTATCTTCACGGTGAAAATGGTTACTGAATGCTATTTTTGTGTGAAAATTTTCGATTTTGTACTTTACATTTTTAACTTTATTATGCTATAACTTTTTGAAAAAGGTATGGATCAATACAATTTTTTCATGAGAAGTAGTATTTACATACATCTTTCATTCGACATACTGTTTTTTTTAAATCGGACTATTTCCCTATATACAAGGGGGGTTTAAATCTTAAAAATGCATGTAGAAAGTAGAACTTTTTCAACTTAACTTTTAAAAGTGTTCCGGAAAGTCAGACACTTTTATATATATATTAAATTAAAGCTTATGTAATATACTTTATTATGGTAAAAAAAAATTTCGTACTTTATTTCATATTCATGGTAAAAATAGACATCAAAAATGATAAAAAAAATACGATTTTTGTAAAAAAATTCTTTATATTTTTAACTTTATAATGTTATAACTTTTTGAAAGATGTAATGATCAATATAATTTTTTTTTAAAGATGCATGATGTCTTTACCTATCATTTGGTATATATTATTTTCATAAATATAACCCTTAACCTGCCCACAGGGGGGGATTTAAAATGACAACTTTTTCACAAAAAATTAACTTTTGAAAATGTTCCAGAAGGTCTGACACTTTTATATGTATCTTAAATTAAAGCTAATGTAATTTACTTTATCATGAAGAAAAAAATTTCGGACTTTATTCTATCTTCACGGTGAAAATGGTTACCGAATACTATTATTGTGTGAAAATTCTCGATTTTATTTTTTAACTTTATAATGTTATGACATATTGAAAAATGTATGGATCAACATTATTTTTTTATGAGAAATAATATTTTTTAATAATCCCTTTTTCATTCGACATACTTTATCTTAATTAGGATATTAATAATGAACTAGCAGATCATGTAGCTTTTGGTATAATCCACCAATTTTTTAAATTTAAACACTATCTAAATATTTGCATCGAAGAGTATTTTTTTTGATAGTGATTTTAATCACTGTCAGATATCATTATACTTGATCCATCTATGCCACGTCGCCACTGTGCCGCGATCCCACTGTGCTGGGTTTTTTTTTTTTTTTTTAATACAAATTATTATGTATATCTAATAGAAAAAAACAAAATAAACAATTTTATAGCTAATAGTTTTTTATAATTAAAACTATGAAAAAACAGTCTATGTTCTAGAGCCTATAACTTCACATCCAAATAATCTATCACTGTGGAACTAGCACTGTTTTACTCATATTAAATAGTACTTCAATTTTATTCTTAAGTTTAAAAATTTTGAATTTCTTTGAACATCGAAATTTTGATTAAAAGTTTTTTAATTTTGCAGTGTTTTAATAGCAAAATTTGAAGGCCAAAATTTTTTTTAATTAACATTTTTTTTTTTCATTTCAGAAACTTTTAGTAATGTTTTTTTAACCCATATCATATTTGAATAGATTTATAATTTTTTTTGTATCATTTTACGGTCTTGAACACGCGTGGTTTGCTGAGAATAGCCAACTTTATAATCTCATTACACAAAAGTGACTGAACGAATTTTTATCAAATTTACATAGTACATTTCTTTAGGGAATTAAAACGTCTGGTGAAAATTTTATGATGGAGAAATAATTTTAACGCTACTTATAGAATTTACAAAATTTACAATTTGCGTATTATAATAGATATTATTGATTCTTCGACTACTATGCTGTAGTATACAAATACTGTATACCAAATATATAAACTCATAAGGATTTCTATTGTACTAATCTCTGAATTTCATGAATTATTGTGATTTTAGCAGATCATGTGTACTATATAATATTTCATCTAACGCTTCAATAATTTTATGAATGTGACATGAAACTTTATTGCTTTAATAATACTATCACACCTTGTTTCTGACCATTTTTTTACTGTGCTTTTTTGGCAATAATAAGAGAATATAATTTTAACACCACTTATAGAGTTTCAAAATTTATCATTTACATATATGGAAAAGTCATAAACTACGTAATTTTCAACATTTAATTTTTTGAATTTATTCTACACGAAAATAAAATATTAAATACCATTGTAAGCAACTAATTTTAAAGTCGTAATTTTTTCTAATATTATGTATTTTATATCATTTTATTATTTTAAAATTATAATAAAATGTGTTATATTGTTGAGTGTATTATAGAATATTTTTTATTATAAATTCCCTTATAATTCATTCTACATTATAACTTAATTCTATTTATTTATTAAATATAAATTTAAGTTTTATATCTGTTTACATCATACCTATTTATAATCAAATACAATAAAGTACAGAGTTATACAATAATAGGTTAGTTCTTAAAAACAAAAAATTATTAGATCTAAATATATGGACTTGGTATTGTCGTAACACAATAAAAGAAACGAATAAATGTAAACTTTTGGTGTTTAAAAAGATTCTGCAATTGAAATATTCAGAACTTAATTAATTTTAATGATTTAATTTAACTAAATGAACCAATCAAAACAAAGTTGTTAAAAAGATTTACTCAATTGAGTGAATTAAAATTTTGATTATAATTGTAAAAATCCATCGTTAAATACAGATGAAACTAAAAATTATTTTTTTTTTAAATTTATGATTTATATAGCAACATGTTACCAAAAAATTTGGAATATTATAGTTTAGTAGTAGCACACACAAATAGAGTAAAAAAATTATTAAATTACAAAGTAAAATGATTTAATTTTATATTTGAAACCTATCATATCAAATTATCATATCGAACTTGACTCGACAATAAATACTTTGAAAACTTTAGAAATGAATGATTTTAATTGTTTGTATGTAGAACATGGGACAAGTAACTGTTTAATTGATAGATTAGAATTTTTTTTCAATTTTTGAGGGTAATATATTCATTTTAACTAATTGTAATCATTTGATGTATCGTTGAAAAATGTAGGTCAAGTTAGAGCAGAGAAAATAAATGATAGTCACAAAAAAATATCTTTTCAGCTTTGCATCGAAGCTAATACTTGAAATATAGTAAAATAATTTTAATACGAATAAGAAATTTCTTCTCGAGAGTGGCGACTATAGTAATGGGATCCTTGATCTTTATTGAAGTTATTGTATCTAAATGAGATAAAAATCAAAGCAATTGAAAAATTATTCTAACTTAAAAAGAATTAAGTAAAAATGCAAAAAATTTATTGCCGCCACACATGGGTTGGAACCTTGTACCTCAAGCGCGTAAAACACAAGTTTAATCGACTCGGCAACCATACGTCGCTAACGTCCGTTGAAAAAATTGGCTATTTAAGCTAGTTCAAATTTCAGAGTTATATCTTTCGAATTCAAAAAGCAAAAAAATTTAATTAAGTCTAACTTTTTATGCTATATCAATTTTATTTATATAATATTTATCCAAATCAGTGTACTTCCCTTGTCATGTATTTTAAAATAAAATAAAATACAAAACCCAGAATTTTAACATAAAAATAGCATATTTTTGAATTTGATAGTCATTTTCACAACGAAGACAAATCGATAGGTCAAATTTTTTTTTCAAATTAAAGTATAATACATTAGCTTTAATTTAAGATACATATAAAAGTGTCAGTATTTCTGGAACACATTAAAAATAAATTGAAAATAGGCATGTTTAAAGTTTTGACACCCCTTGTATAAAGGAGTATGATCCAACATACAAAAAAAGTGTGTCAGATGAAAAGGGTATATTACATTAGCTTCAATTTAAGGTATATATAAAAGTGTCAGTCTTTCCGGAAAATTTTCAAAAGTTAAGTTGAAAAAGTTATTTTTTTATAAAAAAGTTATTATTTTAAANAAAGCAAAAAAATTTAATTAAGTCTAACTTTTTATGCTATATCAATTTTATTTATATAATATTTATCCAAATCAGTGTACTTCCCTTGTCATGTATTTTAAAATAAAATAAAATACAAAACCCAGAATTTTAACATAAAAATAGCATATTTTTGAATTTGATAGTCATTTTCACAACGAAGACAAATCGATAGGTCAAATTTTTTTTTCAAATTAAAGTATAATACATTAGCTTTAATTTAAGATACATATAAAAGTGTCAGTATTTCTGGAACACTTTAAAAATAAATTGAAAATAGGCATGTTTAAAGTTTTGACACCCCTTGTATAAAGGGGTATGATCCAACATACAAAAAAAGTGTGTCAGATGAAAAGGGTATATTACATTAGCTTTAATTTAAGGTATATATAAAAGTGTCAGTCTTTCCGGAAAATTTTCAAAAGTTAAGTTGAAAAAGTTATTTTTTTATAAAAAAGTTATTATTTTAAAACCCTTCTTGTGGACTGGTAAAGGGTCAAATGTTCACAAAAATATATAAAATGATAGTTAAATACCTAAGGTATCTATAAAAAAAAAATATAATCATTCGGTTATTTTTAAAAAAAAGTTATGGCAATTTTAAATAAAATAATTGAAAAAATGTCGAATATTAGCGATTTTTATATTTGTAATTTTTTGGGGGATTTCCCCCGTTTACGGGGAACGAGGGAGTTTTTTTTTCAAATTTTGAGGGTAATATCTTCGACTAGATACGATTTGTTATCTTTTGACATATTTTTCATCAAAATCGTTCCAGCGAGAGCTGAGATTAAGCGTATACGGACACAAAAAAAAAAAATCACATCATAGTAAAATTAATACCATCCTAGCTTCGCATCGAAGCTAAAACAACTAATCAGAAATAATAAAGGTAATAGGAATTCACTATGCTTTTAGTATAATACATCAATTTTTTAAAATCAAACACTTTCTACAGATTTGGATGGAAGCCTTTTTATGATAGTGGTTTTAATCACTATCATTTATCATCTACACTTGTTCCATCTATTTCACGTCAACTTTGTGCCACGACACTACTGCATTACTGTTCTTTTTAATTAATTTAATATTTAATTTCATGACATTCATTTAAATTGACAATTTTATTGAATACCTTTAAATTTACCATAATATAATATAATTTAAATTATGTTATGGTTTATTAATAAAGTACATTGATAAAGTCTTGATCTTTATACTCTAATAGTTTCTAGTTTGTTATTGTTTTTATGGATTCATTCATGGTACACTTAATTAATATGAGCACAGAATATATGTATATTTATATTCATATGTGGTTCTATTTAACTCTCATCATTTTAGGATTCTGTAACTTGTTAAAAATCCTAAAAAATTAAATAATTTAAAATATTGTTCATACTCACTTGTATTTTTGGATTAGCATTTGTATTCAAACATATTTGGGCTGATATAGAAATAACAGATAAAAAACTTGTCATGTTCAACGAATTAAAATAATTATTAATCATTTTTTAACTTATCTAAAAACAATTTTTTTATACTGAAGTCTTACAAAATAAAATACACACTAGTGTTAGTTTATATTGCCCACTTTTAAAATAAAAAAATTGTATTAATTCTATTTTAAAAAAAATTTTCATATGAATAAATAATATATTAAATTTTCTTTAGACTTATTTGTTTATTGATATAAATTATCGATAATGCTGTTAAATGATTTTATATTTAGATTATAACAAAACAAAATGTGTTATATATTGATATTTAGAAAAAATCATAAGAAATAAATTTAATAATTACTAAAAGTAGCTTAATATTTATTAATTGGGAATTAGAAATACTTCATAATTCACAAGAATATTGCATACCCTTTTTCTAAATATATTGATCTTAAGAATATATGATAGATTATAAATATTTTCTATGTATTAAAAAAAGTCAAATGCTTTACATTATGCGTAAATTGAGGAAAGCTTTTTAACAATTTCATGAAAATATTATTATATATAAAAAAAAACTGGGGGAATTAAACATAATAAGTTTCTAATTTTTTTAATTGTGACTAATACTTGTAATGTAATAAAATAATGGTGTATTCAAAGGGATAGATTTGTAATAAACCACTCGATTCTGTAATAGAAACTTTTTACAAATATCTCGGTCATTCAATTGAATTTTCATCAATGTAATTTTTTTTATTTACCATTAGCGTATTTATGGCGCCAAACAGACGTCACGATAAGATAGTTAAATTTTTAAGAAAACTTCCCTCTTCATCATCTCTGCAACTAATCTCTTTCCGTTCAGTACCCCCTTATTTCCTCTTGTGGCTTAACAGGTATGTTATAAAATCACTCGTCATGTTTATGTCTTTCAATAGAATTNTTATTAAAAAAGGGCTAGCAAAATTAGCATATTATTCATGTTCTCATCTAACCAACATTTCTTATATTTAATTTCCAACCTTATTCTACATCTCTTTCTGTTCAGTACCCCCTTATTTCCTCTTGTGGCTTAACAGGTATGTTATAAAATCACTCGTCATGTTTATGTCTTTCAATAGAATTTTTTGCGTTTAAAACCGTCTCCCGTTTTGATTTTTAATCATATATTTATTGATGATGAATATTCTACTGGCACTGTGATATAACCCATGGTATCCCAATGTCATGCAAGTTATGACCTAATAACCAACAAGTTTTTCGCCTGCTTGGGGCTTAAGATCGCCTAGAGTGATGGTACGTTATGTTGACGCTTCTAAAATACATGGAGGTGTTCATCGCATTTCTTAGAATAAAATTGTTAGAGAAATATTTTTTATTAATGTCTTTTTTTTCTATTCCCTTTTATATTCAAACGAGTTTTTTGCCTTGTATTAACTTAAATTGTTTTTTTTTAATAAAGAGCTCTTATTCAACCTAATTTTAAAATATTTTTCTTGCGTGCTTTATCTTCTAAAATTACACGATTANTTTCAAACGAGTTTTTTGCCTTGTATTAACTTAAATTGTTTTTTTTTTAATAAAGAGCTCTTATTCAACCTAATTTTAAAATATTTTTCTTGCGTGCTTTATCTTCTAAAATTACACGATTATTAAATCGGTAAATTTCGACATTTCTTTATTTTTTTTTCTATAAATTGCCATAAATCATTGAAAAATGAACAAATCAACATCATTTTTTTTATTGAAACCTTAAGTAATTCCCTTTTATTTGATATAATATTTTTGAAAATCTGACACTTTAATTGCCCACAAGAGTGGATTCAAATTAGCAACTTCTTTACAAAACTCAACTTTTTTAACTGAAGTTCATAAAATGTTCCCTAAATAATGCATCCTTNTCTATAAATTGCCATAAATCATTGAAAAATGAACAAATCAACATCATTTTTTTATATTGAAACCTTAAGTAATTCCCTTTTATTTGATATAATATTTTTGAAAATCTGACCCTTTAATTGCCCACAAGTGTGGATTCAAATTAGCAACTTCTTTACAAAACTCAACTTTTTTAACTGAAGTTCATAAAATGTTCCCTAAATAATGCATCCTTTTAAGATATGTCAAATTTAAGCATATGTTACGTACTATTAATTAAAAAAAAATTTGTCCCGACAATTTACCTTCTACGTGTAAACGGCTGCCGTAATTAAAAAAATTTTCGTTTTTCATATTTAAATTTTCATCTTTAAATTACTATAATTAAAAAAAAAAAATGTATGGAAAGGAAAGCAACACGTCTCTTATGCTGTGACTGGTAGTTTGGTTATTGAGCAAAATTAGAAGGAGCTATTCCGGCATTTTCTAAAATTTTAAAATAATGTACATCCTGTCAATCCGTGCTACACATCCGTGGTAGCGACGCGCGTGACGCTTGTACGTACGACCGTTTCAGGTTTCGGGCTCCTTGTACTTCGATGTCAGCGAGACGCTCGTGAAATGTNTTGTATGGAAAGGAAAGCAATACGTCTCCTATGCTGTGACTGGTAGTTGGGTTATTGAGCAAAATTAGAAGGAGCTATTCCAGCATTTTCTAAAATTTTAAAATAATGTACATCCTGTCAATCCGTGCTACACATCCGTGGTAGTGACGCGCGTGACGCTTGTACGTACGACCGTTTCAGGTTTCGGGCTCCTTGTACTTCGATGTCAGCGAGACGCTCGTGAAATGTCTCGTCGGGTCCGTCGGTCCCAATGGACCGAATGTAACGCGATGCGTGTCCGATCGTCGACTATCGTTTCGTTTGACGTTAACTTGACGAATAGTCGGTTGTGCAGCAACATGTGGGGATGGCAGCATATTTTGACTGATTCGCTCAAGTAAATTTGAAATCTGTCGCTGTTACATTGACATACGCGACAGCGACCTTTCTAATTCACTGATCCGTGCCTCGATCCGCGCGTTATTCGAAATGTCGCGAATGTTCTGTCGGATCGCCCCGACTTGTTCTGCCGCGTGCGCTATCGAGTGGGCAACGTATACGTCTTCAACGTACGGCGCACCTAGTTGTCCACTTGCGCGCGTAATTTCCCCGGTTGATCGACATCAGATTCGTCGTTTGATGTGCGTAGCGCGAGTTTCACAGGATGTTCCTCCGGTAAAGGCGCTACGCCGGACCGCTGATTGTTCGAGTCGAGTTCGCTGACACAGTCCGTGGAGTTGTCTAAAAAACGGTTCGCGGACCGGAATTTCGCTATCGAGCGGCGTACGGGGTGGTAAGATTTCGGTAGCTGGATTCCTCCCTTCGCTACGTAGGTTTTCCTCTAGCATAATTAGCATGTTGGGTTTCGTCGCGTAACATGGTAGCTGTCTAAAAGCGCATTCGCAACGTAATTCAGAGCAAATCATTTATGCTAATGATTTCCCCGATATATTGACCGTGAATATTATGTTTATTTACAAACCCTTGCAAGTGCGCTTTTTATATTGGCCTGTAACAACAACATTGTTTGCCACTTGCATAACGACGAGCTATAGTAGCAAGAGTTGCCACCACCTAGGCGAGGTGTCCCACCTATCAGATATGATTACCGGACCATAGGTGGAATTTAATTTTAAGTTAATTAAAAGTATAATCTAAGTTAATATGTCGTTGTATGAATAGTTATTATCGAGGTGGACATAATGCCCATGCACTCAGACTTGTTAGTCCATTGTGCGCCGTTGTATGTATAAATTACTTTAATACCTCGTGGTTTATTAAAGACAATTATGTCAATTAAAGTTTTATGTGGTTGATATGTAAAACATACCGTAGCCCGTGTCTAGATTAAGGAATTGGGATAAAATACACGCGAGTAATTAAGTTACTCGCGCAATAAAAAAGTATTACAGTTGAAATTAATAAGGAAATTTAATTTAATTGTTAAAAAAAGAAAATTAAGTTAAACATGGACAAAAATGCGAATGCATCAAAAACCATGTCTACAAATAAATGCAATAAATATAAAATAAAATATTTAAACAAATAATATTACAAACATCACGGACGGTATTGGAATATATTCGTTAATGTTAATCGGAAATTAATGAAAAACACTAGAAGCGGTCTGGACAGTCTCTCCTTAGCGTTGGCTACAAGAAAAGGGAAACACGTGCTCTCCACACATAAACAAAATTAAGTTAATATACGATAAAATAAAATGAAATAAAATAATTAATAAAATATAGCTCATTACATAAATATAATATATAAAAGAAAACGATACCCGGTTTCCGAAGAAACCCATCCGATGGTCTGGATGTTTCGTCGAAAATACCTGGCCGTTTGCCGTTGCCGGCTCTACTCCATCATTGTAAAAAAAATTACCAAAAAACAATAAACGTGTGCACTCTAGCACGGTCAATGACAGAAGAAAGAAAGGAGAAGAGCGCCAATTTAACGGCGATTTCAAATCGATAACGGCCAGTCTTTTTGGAAGGGATCAATATTAATAAACAATTCGATTTCAATTATATTTTTCTTTTATCGCCTTATCTAGCGGTCAGCGGCAAAATAATGAGTGGTTGACACCGCTCTGTCAGAAAAAGGTTCTTTCGCGCGATAAAATAAATAAGTAGACATAACAAAAATTATAAACGGTCCACCTTCAAATTTGTGACGTTACAGAAACCCCCCTAGAGAAGGTTTGAAACAACGTGACAAATCTTCTCAAAAAGAGAAAACATCCAATCAAAGTGGACCTCAACCTTCAAGCAAAACAAGAAAAACAAAATTAAAATAGAATAAAGAGAATAAAACAAAATAAATTGAAAATAAATCAATCAAATATACATTGTGAGATTATGAAATCATATAAAATTATTATTAAGAATTGAATAAAAAAAATTTTAATTTAAAAATAGAATCAATTTTATAGACTAGACGTAGACATTGGAGACAAATATTTTTTGAGAAAGATCACATTATCACATAACAAAAATTATAAACGGTCCGCCTTCGAATTTGTGACGTTAATAATCAAATGTATGGTACGTTAATAGCGGAGCTAAATAATATCTCCGTGTACGATCAAATTTGCTACTGCAGTAGAAAACAAGTGTTATTATTATTGCTATTGTTGTTATAAAGTACCGCGAT